TCAAAGAAGGAAGAGTTAAATAAAAAGCGCTGAGTAACACAACGCCATTAATACCATCTTACTGTTCCCATCACTTCATACGATAATATAATGAACAACTGAATGTAAGAAAAAAAAACAACAAACTGTATACAACATGTATAATAACAAGCAGTAAGCAGAAAGTTCAGTACAGCTCTTGTTCAAGTAAATTCAAATTCCTCTTCACCGTTACTTTTTCTTCTTTATTACTGCTGTTTTTCAAATTCCGCAATCATCCGCTTAATTTCTGAGATGGTGAAACCATACTATTCGTGGTGACACATCCTTCTGCTACATTAGTTAACTGACAATGAAACGTTTAATTAGCACAACACTCCCACAAGCTCACAAACTTTTTGTACGTTTCTTCTTCGTTGGCAATCAAATTTTGCCTACAATATTGCTGATACTAGTTGCAGCAACTTTTTTTTTGAGTGACCTTAAACAAAAACAACCACAGCAGAATGGTTGACTTTATCTGTTTCACATAGACAATAAACCCTCCCAGTTCCAAAAGGTTTATCAACCATAGTCAAAACAGTTTGAGAAGAAAGAACACAAAGAATGTGTAACGAAATAAGACGCAAGTCATGAGTCCGAAGATAAAGATCCACATGATTACTTAGTAGAAGACCAAGAAGACAAAACTGCAAAACGGTGTTAGCAGAAGTAAATGCGTCGAATTTCATTTGGCGGGGTTTGCAATCATCTCACACACCAACTCTCTCGCTTTCATCATTTCCATCGTCAATTGCGAAAAAAAAAACAACGCGACGCGAAACTCTAAATGCGTGCGTCACGTATTATGCGACTGTGTAAACCTTGCGCTTTTCGCTTGTTGTTCGATGAATTTTTTTTTTTGGCTGCTTGCTTGCGTTTCGCTGCCCCTTACATTTTTAGTCGTCAATTAAACAAACTCTTTCCGTAATGACGATAAACAACCGAACACATCCGTTCACCGAAACAGAAAACTATACCAAAAATTCCTACTTGCAGATACAAATCCGACCACTAAACAAATATCAGCAGAGACACTGATCAAAACCCCTTCCCTCCCTTAAAAGAAGAACCAGAGTTCCCAACCGAAAACCTCCACGAAAAATTCGTATGGCAAAATACACAGCTGTTAAATGTCGCTAATTTATAGCTGCAACAAATTTGCCTACGGGAAGTGCATAGAAATAATTTTTCGAAATGGTTACGGTAATATTTTCGTTTCAAAAA